AGAAAATGTGAACGAACAGAGCGTCAATACCCTTTGGGGTGGAGGATACGCAACGAACCTTGAGTTCATTCGCCGTGTACGGTGCATCAGGAGCATACACATTGAGAAGCTCTGCAATGCAACAAGCAGTATATGCCTTTACTCCTTTGTCTTTATGAAGAATGAGAGAGGTCCCAATGAGCTCCTTCCGGACAGTGGCGAAAGAGGCTAGGTCGATGTTTTCTGGCTCGGCCTCAGTAATGGAGTGTAATTCATCGAGAAGAGTCTATAAAGAACGTATATGAGCGTTGTGACGCGTGATAGGTAATTTATACGAAGTGTATGAGGATTAGACATATCCTACCTTCAATTTACGTTGAAGATTGTCACTACTAAGACCTCGTCCCGTGAGTTTGTCATCAAAGTTTAATTTAACTGGGGAGTTTGTGTTCACACTTGGACGCGTTGTTGGCATGCCTAAACCAAACGCGTTGTGGTTCGGGAAAATTAGCGGCGACTCGGAGCTTGGACTGGTGCTCGACTGGCCCCTGAGTGCATTATCACAAAAAATCAAATTCAATTTTTTGATAAATCTTTGTGACATAAAGGAGAAGGGTAACATTATTCTGTAATATATAGGCTTATGGTAGATCAATAACTAATCTTGTCCACTACACTTGTTTTGGGACTTTGGTCCATTTAGAGCTTCCGACAGGTGCCCCCCCTCTTCGTCAGGAAAATATTCATCATGTATTTAAGAAGGAGGTGGTCCTGAGGGTGGTGCGTATGTACCAGGAGGGACGACAGTGGACACCTGTTGATGGCTATCGTTTATATGTGCAGCAGGCGGTGCTCCAACTTTCTCATTTGTGTGGAACCCAGCCGGTGCAGTTCCCTGATAAGTGGGAGGCTTTTCTGTCGAATCGACAGCCCGGTGGGTGGGTAGCACACCCGCGGCAGCCCTCATTCGTTTCCTCCTCCGATTGAAAAAGATGATCGCAAAGGTGATGATCAGAATCAGGGCCACTGCAAAAGCAAAAATGCGTCAACGATTACGCTCTACTCGTTTCAACCCACAAACTCACCGCCACCAACCACTACGCCAGCGATGATGGCCGTCTTGTTTACTGGACATGCGACTTGATTTCCATTATCGTCGTAGCAATTTGAGCTACCGCCACCTCCACCGCGTACTCTGGGTTTTGCAGCGACTTCCATTGCAGCAAGGAGTGGGAGAGCGAGAAGGGAGAGGCTCATGATGAGAGTCGAGGTATGGTGGCCAGGCCCCGCATGTGGGCTCGTTTATATAGGCCACCAAAATCAATCGGTGACGTGGGTTTGTGGGTTCGGTGCTTGGCATCAACTGACCGTCGCCCGCGAGTTCGGAGATGTTCTCATAGGTCACCACCGAGTTGGGTCCTTTGGGGCTATGACGAATTGCTGCGATTCCCTTCAAAATTAAAGAAGACGGGCCAGTTAGCATTTCGAACTGCACAATTAGAAGTAGAAAAGCTGGTCTCAGCAATGAAAATATCCTTCATGAGAATAATAGGACATATGCTTGTATTTGCCATGTTATGATGGCGTCCCTTCATCGACCCGGGATGCTGCAAGATTTTGCAAACTTACCGAATCACGATCGTGGGCACTGGTGGTGTAACGCCCTCCTACTGCGTGTGGCAATGTTCGAAGGTGGCGGGATTTGACCTGGTCAGATTTGAGCCACATGGGTAACGGCGAATCTACTGGTGCCAAGCCGTCAGAAACAATTTTCACAGGAGCAGAAGGGAACGTGGCTCAGTTGGTGATGCATGTTGAGCAGGTATCATACAGAACAGACGGTCAATGCTCGAAAATTGGGAAGATATCATCTTCGTGAAGCGCTGAGAAACAGGATATTTGAACTTACAGAATCACTATCCTCTCTGGTATCGGCAATCCATTTCTTG